GACGCTTACACTTTAAACTTATATTCAGAGTATAAAGCTATTGTAGTATTTATTGTAGCAAATGAGGTTAACTTTATAGCTATTTGGCAATTTTTATCAGGAAACCTTGGAGCGTTGATGATGGTCCCGGATGTTGAATGGTTATCTATTAAAGTAGAACAATGTGTAGCGTCCTTCAAACTTAAAAGGAGTCAGACATAAAAATTTATCAATTAAAAATGTACCAACAGAAGTAAATGAACTAAACGAACGAAATGTGTCATAATAATTATCTTTAACTTTAAAACATAATAATTATTTAAAACGAATTAACAATATCTATATAAATGACTTCATCAAAATACACATCGAAGAATGAATGAATGGATGGATATTTGTTATCAGGTTAAAGGGTAGGTAAGGTAACGCACCTGATATTGCGGATGGCTATTGGCAGCGGCTACCTCGCTATTTCGGCGAATTAAGGAGGCCGTTTGCCTTTACCAAATTATAACATAAAGAAGGTAACTTAACAAATGTTGAATGGAAGGCTATATTCTAGTTTTTGTCTCGGAATATGTAGAGTTGCGGTGGTTATTGAAACAAATGAAGACGTAACTAATTTACTTAATAGCTGCCAAAGTCGCGAGTAAGGCTCTTCGTACACAAAGCAACGTAAATCTTCGAAACTAATATGCTATCCTAACGTCGCAAATATCGCGTTGAATCGCCGACGTCGTCTATTCTGTCGGTGCAGGCATAGTATGTCAACTGTTATATTTATTCCGCCATCTAATCACGACGACTTTTCTCGCGGCGGTCTTGACAAACAGGTTGCGAACGACTGGTTTTAGCGACAAAAGAATAAAAGTCGGCGATGCTGGCCGTGTACCTCTATGACATTGTATTGCGTTAATCGGTTAACGACTAAAATCTCAATATTACGAAGACTTACGTTGCCTCGTGTACAAAAGGCCTAATAGTTATGCAATAAATGAAGTATGTGAATGTTGGCGAAATAAAATGAAAAGCGTGAATTGAGTATCAGTAGTAATCTTATCTGCCCTGGTGACAGGCGCTAAGCGATGTAAACAGCTAATTGTTTCACCTTAAAATACCGCAATGACGCGACGTCAGCGTAAAACAAAGAGCATTTACAGCAAACCCTTTGTTCTTTGTTTTACGATGTTCTTGATACTTTGTCTTTTCATCCGTGAGCCGTTCTCGATTCAAGAAACGTTAAATAATTTACTTCAGTCAATTCACGTGACATGCAAGTAAACTAGAACGGTATGGAATAAAATTAATAAGTTATTTAACATAGAAATACATATATATGTACATTTTATGATAACAAACAGCTGAAACAAAACGAGATAAGTTATCATTCTAATCGACCTCAAATGACCTTTAATAATTATTAATCCACGACAATTTTACTAATATTATTTTTAATAATTAAGATTGTTTGTCAAGGTTGTTGAAACGATAAACCAAAACTGTAATAGATTGCAAATCGTGAATATACCAGATTATTAATATACTTTAGAATGATAACTCAACATAATTCAATGGATCTTTGACAATAATGAAATTTTCGCGTTTGTTCGTCAGCATTTTCTTTGTGCAGAAAAAACTAAAATGGTAAAAATTTGCTTCTGTTTAGCATTAAACAGTAGAAAAACATCATAGGAAATTAATACACAACATTTTTGTAATCTATATATATAAAAGAAAGTCGTGCTAGTTACACTATTTATAACTCAAGAACGGTTTTACAGGTATGGCTGAAAATTGATGAGGAGGTAGCTTAGAGCCAGGAGACGGATAGGATACTATTTATTCATTTTTTTTCTAAGATTTATGATTTGAAGAACTGCTTTTTATTTAACTTATTATACTTATATTATAAATGCGAATTTTTATATGGATGGGTGTTTGAAGATATCTCTAGAACGGCTGAACGGATCTCCATTAAATTTGGCATACGTATAGAACATAGTCTGAAAGAACACATAGGCTACACTTATTACGTTTTTTATATATCCACGCGGACGGAATCGCGGGCGACAGCTAGTATAAAATAAATATTATTTGAAAAATTTAGATAACATATGTGTTATATCAAGGAAATGAAATTGTCTGTGAAGTTAAAATTGCCTATATCCTAATGCTTTGAGAGGGCCGCCAGCGCCGGCGGCGGATGTATTGATGTACCAATTGAAAACAATCAGCCGATACACGGCTTTACCACACGGACATCGCGCATGTTTAGAAAACATTACTTTCAACACCTCTATGACATATTTATATCTATCCCAAGAAACAGGGTTTTGTGAAAAAAACGTTTAAAAATAATTTCTTATCACATGTTAATATAATAATAAATCTATACTAACCGTTATTTATAAGTAAAGAGATTTTACATATTCGTAAGATGCACACATCTCCACAGTTTTTAACTGAATAGTCGAACTGTTTAGTTAAAATATGTGTGTAGACAAAACTGAGAACTTAAGTTTATCTGACAGTTAAATGATTACCTACAAGCGTATTATGTACATGTAGAAGTTTTGAATTTTAATCTTTATCCGGGGTTAAGCTTATTGATAAGCAAAAACATGAGTGGAAATATTATATATTATGCAATATTATATTTATAACATCCTTGTATTTAATATGCGGTTAATAATAAAAACAAACAAAAACTTAATAACAGGGGAACCTCTACATATTGTCATAATGACTATACACTTTGTAAATCAAATTTATAAAAAACTATAGAAGTTTTTAATACTTTGCAGCTTTTGTTTTTTTAATATCAATAAAGAAACAAACAAGCACACTAATCAAAAACTCGGAATTCCACTTCGCACCTGTCCTCTGTTTTTTTTCTTTTTATATCATAAGGTGGCAAACGAGCGATCCGCCACCCGAAATCGCTGAAATAGCAAAGTAACCGTTTCCCATAGACATACGCAATTGCATATGTGTTGCCTACCTTAATCGACGGAGGAGAGGATGCACAGAAAGTAAATATCTTTCCTTTCCATGCATCCTCTCATCCGGAAAGTCCATTTCCACTTCCCATCATTTCTTTATAAGAAAGAGGGTGGGAAGGGAGAGAGGACTAAATTAGGCCTCTGAGGCTCACACTCATTACACGAAACGCCGAATTGCTTCCACTTCACGCCTGTCTTCTGTGTGGTCGTGGTATTTCACCGGGATAGCCGGGCCAATTTGTGCGAAGATATTAAAGCGGGCTCTACCACTGTTCTGTGTGGAAAAGCAACGGCCTAGAGTTTCGTTCAGTAACTGTTGCAGTTAGACTCTTTCTATCGACAAATTTTAATTTTTTAACTAGCGGGCACCCGCGACTCAGACAGTGCTGAATTAAAAAACTTAGTTAATAGCCTATGTGTTCTTCCAGATTATGTTCTATATGAGTGCCAAGTTTCATCAAGATCCGTTAAGCCAGCCGTTCGTGAGTTACCTTCTAACAAAACCATCCATTTAATCTTTCGCATTTATAATACTAATGATACTAGTAGTTATTGTTTAGCAATATTTAGTGGCAATTAATTAAATGTAAGCAGGGTATCATACGGATTCGTTATGAGGTCACCGAAGAAGAATCGTATCTTATCAATTGATTTTCGATGCATTAATCCTTGACAGATAAAATATTTTTGATAATCAACATCCGTATGCCTTACGTCGTTCAATAGCACCATTTATTTTCGTATGAATTTGTTTAGCAAAAGTATTCAAGTCTATTGTAAATCGTTATGAATAAATTCAAAACGGAGCAAACGTTCTAACAAATTGCGTCATGTTTACATATGCAATTTAAGATTCTGCAATGATACTAGGCAATAAAAACGTATAAGATACAAGTATATATGTTCTTACATGGCTTCAATATTGAGCTTTATAACGAACATATTAAAAACTGTACTCTTAAGAATGCGTGTTGCGTTTAACCTTTTTTATTCATTAAATCTACTACAAAAATTACCCTCAAAATTATCTCATCTCCTCTAATGCTCTACATACTTTTAAATTAAATATTTCAGTAAAACTGTTAATTATCTTTGTTAGAATTAATACAGTTAATTGTTGTACCTAACTAGTGGTCTCCTATTGTTCGAAATACGATGATTTTTCGTAATCAGTGTGTTGAATCGTATTTATCTGTTTCTACAATTTCCTTTAACTACAAAGACGTCGCTTCACGTTTTATAATAACAACTTCAATTATTAAAATTTTAATCAAATTAAAATAATTTAAAACGTAATTACTTATCAATGTAAATTAGTTAATAGTCTATTTACAAGCATGCAGTTGTCGATTGAGACTCAGGACTAGTTTTAATAAAAAATAGTATAGCAAACAACGAATTTGTCAAAGTCTTTATATGTCAAAATTTAAATAAATACATGTCTGAATTAACTTAACTCTTTTCTTACTTCTTCTTTGAATTGACCTTTAATTACTTTGAGCAAAATCCGGATCAAATGACCCCGCTCTGCCCTACTACGTAGGGTGTTAATTGTAAACAATATTTATCATAACAAAGACTTGAGAGAACAAAGAATTTCATTTATGTTTACTTAACTATAATTACAAATAGTAAATATTATAATTTGTTAATATACACTTATCAGTATGTACAGTATGTAAACGTTAAGTTAATCTGGGTCAAGTCTGCATAATCCTTAATCTAAAGATGAAATGTAAAGAGTTTCTAATGAGACATTTTATAAGTTCGGTAATAAGCAATGACTCATCAACGATTGCAATTGTTTTTTTCTATTTAATTACCGATTATTTTATTTCTATTATTATAAAATTACCTGTCTTGTAAAATAAAGTCACACGCATGTTTAAGTATATAAACAAATATGGAAATACGAAGAAATTCTCTCGTTCTATTTATTTTTAATAAATAAGATGTATATCAATAAAGAGGATGATTATAATGTCTATGTAAATAACATAATTAAAATTAGAACTTTACCTTTATTAATGCCTAAGCTGACGGTGCATGTGATATTGGAGAAATGGATATCCACAGGGTCCCTCTTCGGGATTTTAGCAACGGTTTGTTTAAGGCCTTGAGGTCCCTGGGGAGAGACTGGGATAGGGGCGTTGGAGGGGCTTGCACTAGGCCTCACTGTCCCAGACATTTCAGGCCTATAGGCCACACTCTGCTCGTCCACGATTTGCGCGCCTGCGAGAATCATGGTGCGTTCTCGGTCGTGCGCGACAAACGTGCGATGCGCGCGAACGCGTCCACTGAAATGTTTATGCGCGTGCGCTTGTCTTCGCGCGCCTATCGGGTGGCTTTTGTCTCACAAATTATCCAAATTGACACAACTCATTGATATGATGCGTCAATATCGTTTATGCGTTTGTTACAAGAAAAACGTGTTTATGTATTTATTGTACCTATGTTGTTGGTCAAAGTTCGTTGTGCTTTTGTTCAATTTGGTGCATCCTAATCATTACTAAATTTTTTTTTGCTCCCGACTAAAAAAAAAGAAAAAATTGACAAGTTGTAAATAATGTCGAAAACAAAAAGTGGTGTGTGAATTTATGAATAAATGAGTTACCATTCTAAAAACAAATCAAGTTTAGTCAATAAAAAAAGCAGTTCAGTTTTCCTTTGTTTAATTAGCAATTAATTCTAAACGTGTTTTAGTTTATCGTAACTATAATAATTTACTATGAAAAAAATAGAAATATCAAGCCAATCGTTTTTCTTGTCGTTTCCGTGTTGGCTTCCACAGTTATCGCGCTAATACTTTTTGTAAAAACAAAGATATACAAATACAAGTGATTCGTCAGTAGAAATGTGTAATAAAAAATCATCGGTCAGAATTAATTACGTAATAATTTATACCACGGGGAGTGCTCTGAAGAATTGTTTGGAACGATTCCTGCCGCCGAGTTCCGTTATCGGAGGACACGACAGACCGCCAGGTTCCATCCACACCACCTGGATGGCTGTCATACCACAACGGTGCGATTCTCGCGCAACTTCTTGCCTCGCACAGCCGCGTTGTGGAACGGTCTGTCCTCGGCGGTATTTCCAAACCAAT